CTTTCTCTTTTACTCTTCATCTAAAGAACCCTTACCACACTTCAGTCCTACCAAGGCCTGCCAAATTCCAATTATACAACTCAAAGCTGAGCTAAAGTTGTGTCAAAGCCATTCGTCACAAAAGAAGGTGAAGGGCAAGAGAGCAGCATCCATCTGAAGCTGGAAGCTTGGTACTTTTGTAGTGATCGAATATAATCTCTGCCTCATGGTTCCTCCTCCAGAGCCTTCTGGCAGATGTTGGTAGCTGAGGCAGACATATTTCAAAGAACAGGAAACATTCCTACATTGCAACTGGCCCAAGGTTTCAGGGGTACCTTCATAAAGCCTTTCTAAATCACTAATTTGAGCATCAAGATGAGACAATTCAGATGGCCTGAGATACTGTGCTAATAGAGAAATGGCTTAAATAGCTAAAAGGCAGGAAAACAGCTGGATTCCAAAGTACTCCTAAGCACAGTCTGACACTGCACAGGGCCTGAAGCTAAAATCTCTCTTTTTACCTATTACAAAAATATATCTGCATTACTGAGATCAGACATAGGGCATTTGGCAAGTCTGTGTTAATTCCTGGAACAACGAATGGAAACCAACTCCAGGATCAGTAAAGTGACTGTGGTCGCAGAGACACCGGGCTGCAAGGAACTTCAGGAGATCACACCTGACAGCCCAGCACAGGGAGGCAGGAGCTACACACACCACACACACTCCTTCTCCATCAGGGGTCATCCAATGCCGTCTTTGAAAATCCTCCACCGTCTCCACAAAACTGCAGCTTGCTCCAGCCATCCGCTGCGAGAAGCTCTCTCTGTTCTCCAACATAAATCAGCTTTGCTTAAAATCCAGTTTGTTTCTTCTTGTTTTCCCATGACAGCCATGCTGCTGCTGCTTACATGATCATTGTTAATTTGCTTTTAAGAAAAAGGGTCTAAGGTATATTACAGCAGCAGGATGAATCCCAAGCTGGTGATTAATCATCCTATCTGCCAGTTCCCAAAAAAGACAAGTGGCCCTTAAGGAATGTCACAAACAGAAAATACATTTTCTCATTTCTGGACTGACCAGATAATTGAAATCTAATGTCAGTGTAGATCTTCTAAGGACATAAAACTAGATGAATTGGCCTAGAGGCAGGAAAAAAAGAAAAGAAAATAACTTGGAGAGACAGAAATTTCCCAGAAAGCTGATTGTCTGGTTACTGAGTTGCAGTCATTTGTCAATTATACCTTTTAGTAAAAGCATTAGAAGTCTAAGTCTGAACTAGTTACATTATCACAAATGTATGAAAGATACACTTTTCATAAATCTGAGAAAATTCTTTTTTTTTTTTTTTTTTTTTTAGGTGCTGGCCAGCTTATTTATTCACACACAAGAAGTGAAATTTCAAAATCATTCTACACCATCAGTGCATTTGATTCCAGGTAAGTCCATGCACCTCTCAATCTTTAATGCATTTTGTCCCCAGGAGGGAAGTGCTACAATTACTATTTTTCTTCTGAGGCAGAAACGACTGAGGTCAGCCAGTAAGCTGTAGTGTCCTGGAGTCTCAAATCCCATGCAAGCCTAATCACTGGAAATATGATTTGGAGGAAGTCACTGTTAGAAAGCGTCACAGCATGCTCAGACAGAAGCAGCAGAACACCAAGGAGCATGGATACTCCACAAACGGAACAAACAGCAAAGCCTGCCTCTGAATTAGTATTTTTCAGGTTCCTGCCACACAAGAGACTCTTCCCCGTCAATTATTGGGGTTATTGCAATTACTATTCCAGACTTTTTGGAGGGACTTGACGAGAACCTGAGCTTTGAAAGAGAGCATCAGAGGCAAGTAAGCTGATTCCATACTAAGTATGCTGTTTCCATGGAGAATAACAAATGTCATACCTCACAATCTCGCAATTGAACTGTATCATCACAGCCAGCTAAGCAGTCATAAGCTCAATGCTGCCCTCAGCAGAGCCAACAAAATACTGCAGATGGGATATGATCTCCGAATTGAACACTCTTGCTCTTTACTGCTCAAAGTCCATCTTTGCTCCTTGCAACTGGATTCACAAAGCAGAGATAGAAGTGGCTACTTAAAAAAAACAAAGCCAAAAGTCACATTATTCCACGTTCACAGAGTGCAGAGCATAGAGCCACCTCATCTCTTGGCAGAGCTTGCCCACCGCTACGGTAGCTCTGCCCGCACTTCCTCCAGCTGTAAGTGAGCGGTGACTCACCAAACCAAAGCGCCTGCCAGCACAGTAAGCTACCAGGACTGCTGGCTTCTCAGCAGAGGGAACTCAACCAGGTCAACACATATTGTTATACAATCCATATCTCATTTTAATTAAGACTAGACACTTCCATCTAGCTTCGAACTGTAATTACAGCCAAGCCTACCCGTGCAGATAGCAGTGTGCTGCTCCACACGAGGTGTGCCCGGCAGTTCACCCTCCACCCACACAGGACATCTCCTGCACTTCCTCCTCAGGCTGTCCCCACTGCAGGGTTCACACCCAAGGGCAGCCAGCCAGGCGGAGGGCTCAGCCCTGCCTGCCTCAGCCGTCCCTTTACGTGCCACCCTGGCTACATGGGCACCAGCTGGGGAAACGTCCTCCTGCTGCTGCTGTGGTTAGCTCCTGCTCTCCAAACACACTGAGGGGGACGTATTTGGCTGCCCGGAGGGCAGGGGGACACTAGGGAGCTTTCTGCAGGACCTGTGCACTTCTATAGCAGGAACTATTAAACCAAAGAAAAAGCTGCCTATGCAACTCTATCTATACAGTCCCCAAGCAGTTAGCCTGGGTTTAAAGCAACGTAACGCTGTCACACCTGTTTTACAGATGCTGCTCAACTATTTGTACAGCAGCAGCCAAGCTGACTCTCAGCATCAAGGCTTCTGAAAGATAACATCCTTAAACATAAACCTGTTTCCTTAAAACTCCCAACCCAGACTACGTTGTACTGTTACTTTTAAACAAATCAGCAGCGTAAAGTCACAGAACTTACTGCCTGTACTTGTATTCACTTCCCAGCTTCTGCACGGGAGCAGGAAACAACTTGCTCAGTTAGACTGAGTGCCACAGGGAATGGGGAATATTATTGCTCAGCTACAAATCCTCTTACACTGCATGAGAAATAAAACAGTGATCAACCCTGCTGTTACAGCTCGAAGCAGACCAGTCCTAATGTGTCAGCTCCCACGCTCACTGACACTAGTCAGAACAGGGCATGCTTCATGCCCAGCCTCTCGGGGAGGCTACGGGAAGCACACATTTCACAGAAGGGCAGTCTGCCCTTTTCCTCTGTCATTTTCCTCTCAAGATGGCAACTGCTGCATCCCAGTGAAGGAAGTGTGAGCAGGAAGAAGAAACAGCACAGAAACCTACCTACAAGCTAAAGCTACTGCTCTTTGGGCTGGAGGAGGGGTGGTGAGCATGCTGGGGGGTTTGCCTACTGACACCTCACTGAGGACAGAAGGTACTAAGGCAGCAAGCTATTTCTAAACTTGAAATGACACTTTACATTAATACACGGCTTTAGGTACAAAAGGTCGGTACCAAGACTGTTAGTTCCAAGGAAGATGCACTTTCTGCTACAGGGTCCAGACGACAATCATTGACTCACAAACTCAAGGCTTTCACCGAGCATTTAAGACAAGTGTTAGTCAATAGCTTTAGGCATTCTCAGCTGGAAGGTTTTCCAGACAAACCTTCTGCCCCTGCAGCAGAGCTCCAAGAGTGCTTGCCTGGCCAGCGCGGGGGAAAGACGGCAGTTCTGGATCACCAGGTTACAGAGCAGCCACGGGGACACTGCAAGGCGATGCCAGGACCCAAGTCACTGCCACCTTCACACACACAAACGCCTATATGAAAAATAAGAACTTTAAAGACTTGGACAAGACCAACACGGATATTTGTTTTGAACCAAGTTTGGTCACACCACCCTGCAAGGAGAAGCACCACTGCTGCTTCAGACAGGATCTGCAGCTCACCGGGGAGTCCCTGCCTTGCACACGAAGATAACGCAAGGCTCCTCCTCTCTCCTCAGAGCATCCGAGACCACAAGCCTTACACCCAGCCTGGGCACAGCTGCACAGCCTGCTTCCCCAAGCCAGGAATCGTTCACGACAGCCATGGTTCCTATGTTTAGAATAACCTCAAAAATAATAATAATAAAAAAAAAAAGGCGCATTTTGTCAGTTCAGCCCACTTTACAAGAAGAAATTGAACACAGACCAGTCAGCCCAGTTTGGTAATACAGGTATCTATTTTATTAAAAAAGTTACAAACAGGTGGACTGTAGGGTTGTCTTACAAAATGACAAGAATGAATTCTACTGGAAAAAACTTTTTACAAAGCATTATAGGTAATTGTTCTGTTTTTTGCACTTGTTATTCCAGATTTCACCTATCACTGATAAAGATACAGTACATTAGATACATGATGTTAGGTTACATTTTTATTTGTAGAGCCCTACTGCAGTGATTTGAACAACTCCTAAACAGATGCCATAGTAAAGACAATACATATTGCATTTATTATTAGCCTCTTACTCTAATAAGCAACTTCACATGCAATCTATTGAGGAAGCCTAAAATAACTTTTGGTCCCTTTTTCCCCCCAAAGTGTGCTGAAGAAACCATCTCTCGTTTTCCCAGTCCTGTCACTCTAAGCTAGTTCAAGTTTTTAAAGTTATTTTTCTTCTTTTTCCTTTTTTTTTTTTTCTTTTTTTATGCTGAGGTCAACAAAAATGAACACTGGTTTGATAACTACCCATAGGAATGAACCATTGATTAAATCTTAACCAACATTTTTCCCCCTTAGACAAAGGAAAACTAAGATCTTTATGAATTACTTTCATTTCCTATTACTTCCTTACAACCTACAAAAAAGATCAACAACCACCACTGAAAAAAAAATTTCAAAAAAATCTACTTTGAATGCAAGGTTTGGTTTAATTTGATATTAAAGTGCAAACCTAAATATTATCCTCAGCTTGTTAATAATAAAGTTTGTACAAACAGGGGGGAAATAAAAACACCATAAATTCAAGTAACCCCACAGGAGAAAAAAAAAAAATCAGGTGTTTCAATACCCAAGCAGAAAACCTGGTGTTCTCTTCTTTTCAGTATTCAAATTCAACACTGAATACAGACTCAGAATCTTTATTTCTGCTAACGGAAAGTCAGCCTGCATTATAACCAATGAAACACATTAATGTTGAGATACTGTACCGGTGATCTTTTATTGTTTCAAATGCCATCATCCACAATACAATTTGAGTTTTAAACTGCTTAACCTCATATATCCATCACTGCTTTTACCGGAGCTTTTCTCAGTTATTTAGCTATTACAGGGTAAGAATGTACATTTCTAGAAGCATGTTCAAATGACTAAAGCTGGGCTCCTAAAAACCTAGAACTTTGGTGCAGTAGGTGAGCTGCAGTTATTAAACTTCTGCAAAATAAAAAATTACACATTTTAAACCACTGCTAGAAAAAGCTCTCATGTATGCAACATGTTAATAAAACTGAACAAAAAGTTTCATCTGTTCTTTGTACATTTTCATTCTGCTCTTTATACCTGTGTTATTGTTAAAATTTTCAAGTATTCAGAGAAAATGTTGATCAGGTAAACAATAAGGAAGGCAATGGCTGTTTAAAGCACACTTGCAGTTAGTATCACTGAAACCTGGTGCTTTTCCCCTTGTTACACCAACTTGTCTCTAATATTAAACCTGTTTATTGGGAAAAAAACCAAAACAACAACAACTAAAAAGCAATTTGTGACAGTGCAAGAAAAACTTTAACAAATATTGCTTTAAAATATTATTCAGAAAGACAAATATTAGGAACTATAAAATGTAAAGTGATCTTATTTGCATTAGATTTACATGTGCAGAGGTCTACTAGATGTCTCTTAATGTGCCAGGCAAAGCTGAGCTGACTGACTAGGCATACAGCCCATTCTGAAGGATACATTATCCCTTTTCAAAGGCATAAAGAAGCTATTTGTAAACAAGCAAGTTTAGAAACTCAGCAGAAGGAAAAGTGTGCTGCCATTCTTCAATGCTACAATTGTCATTTTTGATGAAATTTAGGAAACCCATGAGTGCACGAAAAGAAACATCAGCTGGAGACTGTACATCTCGTTCCAAGTAATCCCTAGCTTCAAATCGGACCAGTTACAAACACAAAATCACAGCTGCATTTGCCAAGAAAAGGGATACTACATCCATACAACAGAGGTGCCTTCAGTTTCTTTTCATGACACTGTCACACGTAAACAAAAAGTCTCAAAGAATGACCAACTACATCGTAGGAGAAAACTTTGCAAGTAGAAATAAGCACTGATGCGAGGTAATATACAGAAGTAACCATTGTTTAAGGCTCAATTTATTCTCCATTAAAACTCTCTTCTTTTAAAAGGCATTGAGTAGGTAATACTGAGTTTAAGTATTTAATAAATACAAGTTCAGAAATTGATTAAAGAAATCAATTAAAATATTAAAAATGAACTCTTGCATATTAGCCATTATATGAACTTAGAAAGCTATAAAAGGACTGATAGATAAAGAACAGATTTTCAAACTTATGGTAAACATGCTAAGCATTCTGATTAAGGTGTGTGGATCCTGGAGGCCACCAACCTTATGCACTTAGATGTATGGCAATGTGCTGTAATAGAGACAGGTTTACCAAGGCTCAGCTCTGCAACCTGGGCTGAAAGTTCTCCAAAGCAGCATCTGTGCAAGTTTCCTCTGAGTTTTATCTGCAATTTAAACAAAATAACTAATGAAAGCCATATTCAATACACATTCAAAGTGAACTCAGCTTCTCCCACAGCGGGGAACAGCCAGTTGTCTGCCCCGAGCTCCAAAGCGCTGCTTTACACAGCTGCCTTCTTGAAGTTCTCTAACTCTGGGAACACAAGAGGCAAGCAGTAACAACTTATTGCTGTGAACGTTGTCACAGGATCTCCTGTGGGATACTAAGTTGCTTATACAGACCTGAAACCACTAGAGAATTTAAGTTCTCCTCTACAGAGAGAAATACAACAGTGTTTGCAGGGGTGGCGAGGAGGCACTAGATCACCCTGGAACATGAGGCAACGGCATTTTGCACAAGTTCTCGGAACAGGCAGATGAGCCAACAAATTCAGTTTTGACATTTGAGTTCTCAGCACTCAGATCCTCTAAATTACTGCGAAAAAAAACCCCACCAAAATTCCACAGCATTCATCAGACTGCCTCAGCAGGGACAGAACTGTATGACACTGTTCTCAATCAAGCACACAAACATAAGGAGTGTTATCAATGCAACCAACATGTCCTTGTATTTCTGATAAATCTTGTGAAGGGCAAGCAAGTTATCTGCAGAGACATCCCAAAAGCCTCAGTCAAAGCTCAAAGCCTGAAGAAACCTGTCCTTCACACGCACATGCATGCACTTTATTGAAGCTTCATGCTCAGCTTTGCAGGGATTTTGATGAGCCTTCTCTGTTCTCCAAGCCAGTTCTTCACAGGAGTCAGGACCTTAAGTTTTGTACTGCAGCATTTCTTTTCAGCTGTCGATTTGCTCTCAGTTAACAGTTTGTCCTGACAAGTGCTGTGACATAGGCCAGGGTTCCTCTTCTTGCCTAACACCTGGCCACTCCCAACAATCAGGAGCAGTGCTGCTGTACTGACAGGAGCAAACAGCCAAGCTGTGATTGCTTCTTTGTGTGTCTTTCAACTAACAGTAATTCTTGCCCAGCCTGGTGAGCGAGCGTGCGTGTGTGTGTGTGTGTGTGTGTGTGTGTGTCTCTCTCTGTCTGTGCGTGTCCGCGTGCATCAAACCCCACTGTTGGTGGTCCACAAGTTTTAGACAGGGAAAGTCCCTGCACTGTCAAAATAGCAAATAAACATTTAGCTTTTAATGGGGATGGATTAGACCTGCTTAACGGGTGTTTTATCTTTGCTTAAAGCACAGGAGACCCGAATCAGTTACAGTGCGGCTCCTCATCCTACCAGAGACAGATCCAACCCAAAACTTCACCTAAATCCAGCATCCAGTGCTGTGGCCAGCAAAGAATTCCTGGAGATAGCAAGAAGAGAGGAAGCAAGTAATGGTCTTTTCCTCCACATGCTCAGCCAGTATCCCTGTAGTTGCAGGTTAGGGACCTCCCAATTCAGAATTGTCATCTTTCCACTTAACTTGTGCTTAGTTACTACAGTTAGCACCACATAGTACCTTATCTGGCTTGCCCGTAACATTTCTATACCACTCTCTAGTCTCTTGAGTGAGCAAACAGGAGAGAAGGGGATGTCAGAAAATCTAGTAGGATAAATTTGTCCATGTTGCATAGCCACACAGGCAAGAAGACAGTATACTTTCAGTTTTTATTTCCACAGAAAGGGGCACTTCCTCCAGTGCTTGCTAATATCAGTTACTCATGAATGGAGGGGATAGAAATCACTCATAAGCATCACTTTCACCACAACACTAAGGTGCTCCCAGCCGATTAGTACCTCTATAGAAAACTTCTAATGCACCAGCATGGTAACAGGTCCCGCAGTTTAAAAAGAGATTTAAAATACAAAACACCATCCCACTGAAAATTCAAGAGGAATACATGATCAAAGAACAGAGAGCAGCTACTGGGAATCTCACCTTTCTGAATGCAGTAACAAGATGAGAGAAGACCACTCACTGCACAAGCAGGAAAGGGGAAGAGGGAAACAGGATGCAAGAACAACGCACATTTTTCAAAGGAACTATGGGTTTTTCAAAGGATATGGGTTATCCTGATGATGCAGTTATACTCTATCCTCCATTTGACCCAAAGCAAGTGACTAGAACAGTAATTTAAGCAAGTGCTACTCAAAAATGTCATGAAAGAGCCTACATAACATCATACTCAACAAAAATATTGAGACATCAGTACCAAAAAGAGGTAAGTGGTACCTGCTAGTTAGAACTGACATTGAAATAATCTCAGATAAAACCAGGTCTAGCATATAACCCACACCCCATCCCTCCTGCATGCTTCTCCATCAGAACTGCAGAGATGCAACTGTTCCTACAAATTTCTTTCTGAACCGACCAATCCAGACCGAAGACTTCCCTTGGACACTGACAGGCAACAGAACTTGGAGATGATGAAGATTATGCTAGGACAGAGCTACAGTTCAAGCCCATTTCCTACACACAGGTTCTCACATAGCTGGTTCCACTTTCTCAGTTTCACTTTACTGAGGAGGGGTCAGTGCTAAAGCAGATGTTTGAGAAGCAGCAATTGTTCCCTGGATCACAGACAAGCAGAAGAATTACAGAGCTGATTACAGCTATCACGAGACACCATCAGCAGCTCTCCTACACTAGAGCACAACAGACAGAAATTACCAGGCAGCAATAGCTCATCATAAAGTTAATGATATCCTACACCTACTCAGTCAAAGAACAAGGACAGAGTGGGAGCCAGGAAGAAGAAAATATCCCAAAAGTGTGGGGCTGAAATGAAAGACTGGGAGCATGATGCCTGTGAAGAGGCAGGACAAGTAATGGAAGTTCCAGACATGGTGAGATCTGGACTGAATAGGAAGCTGCTTAGGTAGGAAAGACTTAGTTGTTCAGCACAGGTGATGAGAGTACACTGGGCAGAAGCAGCAGCTCCTAGAAGCAAGGAAGTATTTTGCTGCTAGAGGTTTGATGTGACATTATGAGCTGGGCAGAATGAAGGAGAGGAAATCCGTATTAGAGAGGCTTAGGATCCTCTATCTCAAGAGACCACAGTCAAGAATACTGATGTTTCTTCTGAAGCAAGAGCACGCTGTGCTTAGAAAATCCATCAAATATAGGCATAAATTAGGATTCAGAGGAATAATATATGGCCCTGCTCTCACTTCAATTTCACCCATAAGCTAAAACTTGATATTTAATGCTAAATCCAACCAGCCAGGTCACAAAGAAGTCTCCCTTAGAAGTAACCAATTCTGGAAGTACAAATTCCATGGATAAAGGGCCCGGTTTTGCCAGAGCTGCAGACAGCAGTCTGCACAAGCTGAATCACTAGTAACCCATGGTACTGCCATAACCTTTGGCATGACACTTTTAAGCCCAGATACTCTTATACATGAAGCTTCCTTAAAACTAACAGAAGCTTTGCATTACTGTAAGTGACTCAAGATATTAACTCTGCAACCACTTTGTTAAAAAAGCAGAAATTCCTTTGGTTTGCTCCATCCTATAATGCTAAACAGCTCTGCAGGCACTAGGGATTAGTGTACCTGGGAAGAATTTATTTGTATTTTCCTCTGCTCCAATACAAGCAGTTTGCTTATCTTTCAAGCAAGCAAATCTTGAACTTACACACACCTCTTACATGGTAACAGCAGCCTTTCCAAATTTCACAGAACTGAAGATAAAACCATTGTGTATCATCTTCAATATGACAGCGCTGGGGCCATGAACATCAAAAATTCTACATTCACAAAGCACTTGATAACAATCTCAAAGATAAGCTTTGAGACTTCACTCTCTGACCTTGCACTTAAGATTAAAGACGAAACGTAGTCCAAAGCTTTCAGTAATAACCTCTTTTTCCTCCTGTCACTCAGATGCAAAAAGCTCCTGTGACTTGAGCAAGAGTTACTAGCAAGGCAGTCAGAGCCTAAGCCTCAACCACTGCCACTGTCAAGAGGGGCAGTTCTTGCCCCTGACTTTTCAAGTCCATTCTCATCCCTGCACTTGCCCTCAGAGATCACATTGCACCGTTTGCCAAGGCAGGTCCAAGAGGCACCGGACGGTCTGATGGACCAGCTGGCTGCACACAGTGCACCAGTGATGTGGAAGAGCCATTTCCAGTAACACGGATTCACGCGGACAGGGAAGCCAGACGTGTAATGGCCATGAGAGCAGGGGGAGCCCACAACCACCTCATGCAGGAGAGACAGCTCTGCTGCCTGCAGGGGAGGAACAGACCCATTACACAACCAGGTGAAAATGGTACTGAAATACACCACCAGGCAAGTGAAGGGCCAAGGGCAGCTATCCTTGTGGGGAAAAAAAAAAAAACATCAAAGCAATACCCAAGACAGGGAAAGATTTACAGATGCCTCTCTGAACACAGCACTCTTTGCCACACCTCTTACGAGTCCCTGGGAAAGGGAAGAGTTGTGCATCAGGAAGACATTTGATAGTGTGCTCCCTTCAGATGAAGAGCACTTTGCACATGTCCTTCGCTGGTCACTCCTCCCAGCTCAGGGCGCTTCTCTCGTACACTGATAAGGCAGAAACGTACTCTAAGTACATTCAGTTTCTGTGCCACAGAATTTTTTTATTTTTTTTTTTGCTAAACAAGCTCCAAGTCTTCTCAGCAAAACTACTGGGAAACTTGGCCACAGCAATTCCACTGAACTTCAGGGTAATTCCCACTACTTGAAAATAATTCTGATACCAACTACAACCAATAATGAAACCCACTGCAACATCACAAAACATTACTGAGGATAACATAATGTCAAATACAGCACCGACAGTCAAAACAGGCGCAGATGAGATCAAATAATTTGTCCCGTTGTAAAATTACCACAAGTAAATGCAATGCTGCCTGACTAACCCTACTGAAGTAACGCAAGAAGTCCATTTGACTTGAGTAATCATGTGCAATCAAATGCACTAGCTTTCACGTCCTTCGAAAGAAGGCTACCCCCAGGTTAGACTGCTTAATTTTAGACTCCCTGCCATGCTTTATCTGCTTACTTAAACAGCATGCTTATGCACCTCAATTAGTTATGACTGTTCCACCAACCTGCTCTGTATGGCCATGATTGAGGTTTTTCTTAATTTCTCACTGGACGATGCAAGTTGTACAACACTGATCTTGTTTTTCAGGCAGGGAGGCATAGTTCATTTGCCTGACGATCTCGGCAAACAGTTCATCCACCATTGTTTTGCTCTTGGCTGACGTCTCCATGAAGGGACAGCCCCACTCCTGAGCCAGGGCTCTGCCTTCTGCAGATAAGACCTCCCTCTCCGACTCCAGATCCACTTTATTCCCCACTAGGATCAGAGGAACTTTCTCGTATCTCTTCACCCGGACAATCTGGTCCCTCATCGGCTTGATGTCCTGGTCAAACAATCCAACCAGTTAGCACATGTAAGCAGCCACGTGAAATTGCTATATAGCACTACAGAACCACATTTTCATAGCCCTCACATGCAACTAAACATTCAAAATACATCAGAAGCCTTCTTAAATTCATGCAGTTCTACAACCCAGACGGAGTTCACTACCCATCCTAAATAAGTCATTTTCTATTTTAAATAAATGCATACACATGCTGTAAAATATATGTGTATATACAAACAAAAAGTAACTATTGTACTGTAAAAGACACTCGCTTCAGCTAGAGCAAGATACAGTACAGATGCTTTGAGAGTTGATTTCAGTTTTCTGAAAAGTTGTCTCAAGTCTAATAACCTGTAACAATTAGCAGTAGCATGCCACTACACAACCCTTTAGGAAGCTTGTGTTTAGTTTACAGCTTGAGAAAGCTACCAATTTAAATAAAGTCTTCTCACTCTGGAATGCTTAGAATTATTCATTGTGAACACATTTAATCACAGGTAAGTAACCAGATTAGATGCTGTGAAGAGATTTTATTACCTAGAGATGCATTTATTCGAGTCTGAACTAACATCAGGAGTTTACACTTAAAAGCCTGAGTCAGCCACCTCTGTCCCCTGAGTGTTTTAAGTTACTATCAGTACTACTAAGTCCTACAAATTCTTGCATAGTCTGGAGACAAAGCAATTTAAGCGTTTGACGTTATCACTGTGCAGAAGAACTGCAGAGTGGTTTACACCTACAGGCTTCAGAGTAAACATGCTACAGACAGGTAAGAATAATTAAGTATTAACAGGGTGGATAAGTACGTCCCTTCCTCAAATAATGGTGATTTGCTGGTCCCCAAAATGAGTGAAAACGAGGGGACAAGCACCCCAATGTCATTGCTATCGTTTTCCAAAGAAAGTATGTCTTCAGCTTGTACCCAGGCTATTTCAAGGCCTTTGCTGAGATAAGGCTTAGCCTTCAGCAGAGGCAAACACACGGCTTCAGTGGGGGTGAGGAAGGTTTTGCCAAGCAGCTGGAATAAACCCAACTCTGCAACTGAAGCCAACGCCAGCAGTTGCAAATCCCTGTGCTGCATGCAGTGCTGCTAAATCCAATCACTCCCCACAAATAAAGCCTCATTTCCAGAGGCAGCTTAGACCAGCTACTGGCTGAGATATTTCCATTTTTTGGAGAGTTTTAATAGTAGACATGAAATCCAGACCCACAAATTATTGCATATGGCTTGTTTCTCCTCTCCAGTACACCATCAATGCTAGGAAAACATCAGCCTTATGCTGGACAGGAAGATATTTTGGGGAGAGGGGATGGAAAATAGCAGCTTATTTAACACGTAGAAGAGTAAGACTCTCTTCAAGACCAACTGAAGAAACAGGCTTTTTAAGAAGGGGAGAAAAAGAAGAAAAAAAGAGAAGTCTTGGTTTTAATATCGAGTGATTTCTTCATAAAAGGGGATTGCCAAAGTATCTGTTGGGGAAGTGGGAGAGGGTCACTGTCCTTCAACACTGCACAGAATTTGACAATGGTGGCACCCTGAGGAGTGCGTGCAAAGTGAGCTGCCGTCCCTCGGGAAGCAGGGCTGGTAAACGCACATTCAGTCAGGGCCTTTTCGCTTTTGCCCCTTCGGAGATAAAGGGCTTCTACGCACTA